ACACTTATATAAATAGACTATAAATAACTCGACTGTTTCTGCATTTGGCCTCAGTGGCCACCACAACTTCAGGTGCAAAGCATTGTGTATGGAAATTGTAAGAAAACTAAGCATGAAATAAAATCAATGTTCATATGATTCCTCCTTTACCTTGAAAGTAGATAAATCTTCTGGAACTGATTATTAAGCTATTAGAAATAAGACTAACAAGATTTTTCTATTACCACAGTTTGCTATGGGAGAATATGTACTTCCTTAAACAATTTGAATTGCAATTCTGCATCCTCTTTGCTACTGCCAGTCAAATTCAGGAATTGAATTAGAATTTAAAAGACATTCTCAATTCAATTCTGAATGGGGCACAACCCTTGTGGACTACTAGCAGAGACATTTGCACTGATATATAGACACTGTAAAATATGCCTCAAAACCACATATACCAGTATAATTCTCTTTGGAAACTCGCCTGACTTTGCTTCTTGTGCTGTCCGGGTCTTTAGCAGTTACCATGCTAACCTCTGTCCCAGCTGGAGCATTTTCATACACATCCATGATATAGTAGTCCATAGTAAACACCGGAGCTTCATCAACATCCCCAATGATAAGCTTGAGTGTGGTGGTGTCTTTGAAAGAACCCAGGTAAGAAAAACGAGGATCCAGATGGGTGTTGACACCTTCTATGTTCAAAGAGTAAGCCTTCTTCTTCTCGTAGTCCAGAGGCTAGAAAGGACATCAGTAAAAAGATCAAGGGAGAAGCAGAAAAGACATTTTAGCCTGGGAAAAAACAGGGCATGGCTGAATGAGCAGAAATTAGTTTACGTGACTGTTGAACCCATTGGTTTTGTGGGAACGTCTAGTTCAGACCTTTCTGAGGGAGATGACTCCTTCTCTCTTGTCACTGTCTGTAGAGATGGAAAACATGGCAGCTCCTTCTTCATTGGTAATTCTGTATGTCATCTCAGCGTTGACGCCAAGGTCTTCATCGTTCGCTTTGATTTTCCCAACTGCTTTCCCTACCTGAGCAGATTCTGGCACGTACAGCTGATAGTTCTCTGAAGTGGAGGATAAACACAAACAGAACAGATGCGATTTTATTAAACATTCAAAATCTTTTGATGCGAATATTAAAAAGTGTTGCTTGCGCTCAGCTAATTTGCAGGGTTTATTTAGATTAAACCTGCGCAAGCTCAATAAAAGTTGTTTACTTTCACAAAATAAAGCTTAAACGAATTCAGCCATTTGGGATAAATTCACATTACATTCAAAGGGATTTAAGGATTAGATGGTTTCTGTAGAAGGGGCGTGCCTAAAATCCAGGCTTTTTTTCCATGGTGAAAGAGACAGAGAGAAGCAGGGACTCGTACTTTGAGGGAATCGTGGTGGATTGTCGTTGACGTCGGCCAGTGAGATATTGACTGTCGTGGATCCGGACAGACCCCCAACAGAGCCGGCCATGTCTTTGGCTTGGATGATGACAGAGTACATCTCTCTAGTTTCTCTGTCCATGTTCGGCAAAGCTGTCCTGATGACACCTGTGATCCAGAGGGCAGAAAGAATTAATATAGTTCCCGCTGACCTACATAACCCATATTCCATTATTGGACATTCAAAAGTATATTACCATTTTCTGCAAATGATGGTGTTCAAGTACAAATATTAAAACAGCCCACATTTCCCTAGCAGACAAAGATTAGGGAGGTCTTGAACCCTCCAAATGAAGTGAAAACAAAAGGTTGTGGAACTGCAAAAGCCTGATAAACATAAATATTGTCATAATTTATCAAAAGTGACAGTAAGGACATTTATAATGTTACAAAAGTTAGCCTTGGTAAGAATAAAATATTTAAAAACATAATTAAAAAAAGTAATGGTAACACTTAGTATAGGGACCAACTCTCACTAGTGGCTTATTAGCATGCCCATTATTAACGTATTGGCTGTTTATTAGCACTTTTAAAGCTCATATTCTTCATAGCCATATTCTACATCCTTGATCCTGCCCAATAAACTAAACCTAACAACTACCTTACAAACTATTAATAAGCAGCAAAATAAGAGTTTATTGAGGCAAAAGTAATAGTTAACGGTTTGTTAATAGTGAGAATTGGACCTTAAAATAAAGTGACCAAAGTTATAACTACTGCAAATAGTATTGCATGTACCACATATTCAAAACGCTTCCGTTTATTCATCTATAAGCTGGCTTTAAAGAAATAAACATTTGATTTTGTCAACATTTCCTATGGAAATTCCCATAAAATGGTTGAACATCTCTTGAAAATTACTGTACAATTCACATAAAGCAAATTCTTCATTTACTTTTGTCCATGGAAAATGAAGGACTAGAGCTGTGAAGCTCCTACAAAGGAAAAGGGACCATAAAAGCAAAATAAAAGCAGTCCACAGAACTCGTGCACTATATCTGAAGGCTTATGAAGCCATATTACAGTATATCTCTGTGTGAGGTCCAGACTCAAATGAAGTCATTATTCACAGAAAATCTTGCTTGATAGCCATGGTCAGCATTCAGTTTCACTGTATGCAAAAGCAAAGCTTGGAAATTCAGCCTAACACCTCCTTTTGTTTTCCATAGAAGATAGAAAGCTAAATGGATTTTCAAAAGACAAGGTTGTGAGTAAATAATTAATTTTTAGGAGAACCATCGCTTGAAATCAAACCGCTAGCCATTTGATGGGATTTCCAGCAATAAGAGCCACCGTTCACAGGACAGGTGCGTGTCCAGAATATCATGTGTACACTGCAGATCTTTGACCCCTAGTTATTGAGGCAGTGAGCTCACAGCGAGTGGTTATCCTCTGCTTTGCCCCTGTTCTGACCTGGTACAGGTTCTTTTCGAGCTTGACAACACACCAGCAGGCGAGTGCTGACCTCTCACTTCTATGTACTGTTCCTATGCGGTTTAAGCCCTTAGCATGAACCTTCCTTTCCAGATGTGCACACACACTCTTGCACAAAGCATGCTGGTGATCATCTCCTGCATACTCCACAGCTCTAAAGCAAAGGCTGCCATCTGCTCCAACCGTTCCCTCAGGAGATAGAGGATAACACAGGGATAAAGGAAAGGCTGGAAAGCATAACAGCTTGCGTTTGCCATGTGAACTTGTATTTGTGCCCCTTTACGCCATGAGATCCCATGGTAATGTTTCTAAGAAATGAGCACCAACTGACATGATACACCAAGGCCCCAGTGCACCAACATGGGTTGTTTAAAAACACTGGAAATCAATAGCATCATTTCATAAAAGCATAAGCTCTGTCAGTACATAGCACTAGACACATTTTATTTACTTGTTAGTGAATATATATAGGATACTTCTTGACAGTTTCATCAAAAAATATATGAAATGCCTTGATGTTTTCACACTCAAGGTTATCCATCATCCAGAAATCAAAGAAAAGTGTGCATTTTCAAGCCAAGCTATTAACGTGGGACATATCCCATTCTTTTATTGACATTTTAAAATGATGTAACCTGATGATCTGCTGATATATAACTGTGGTTGATTTCATATATTGTTTTTTTCTTTTTGTCTGGTGAAAACCTAAGAAGACCTAAAAATGTATACAGAAACGTAATATTATATAGGAAGGAAGGAAGATGAGTAGAAAGCAGTAAATGTCTAGCATGTCTGTAACTATACACATTTCATGTTTTTATCTGACATATAACTAGAAAAAAAATGCTATAAAATATATGGGCAGTATAAATATTTATGTCGGAATGTCTTAATATAAATACACACACAACACCTACAATAAGTCCAAAATGCTGGCAAGAAGCACAGAGGACCTGTGAGGGAATGACTAGCAGATAATTTCAATTTCATGTTATGTGTGAAAGTGTGAGATGGACAGTTTAAATTTTCGAACATGCAATGTTGTCTTTTTAAATGGACACGACCAGTGGGAGTGAGAAAAAATATGCAAACAGATACCTCAATCCGCCAGAACAAATAAACATACACCAGTGTTCAGCCCCAGAGAATGTCATAGAGATTGGACCCAGCCTATTGAGAGCAGACACCACCTGCCAGGACAGGGGATTTCAGCAGACAACACAACGAAAAAAGCAAAATGTTCATGTTAAACAGGCTCTTAGTATTCAGCTAGTAGCCACAAAGCAGAGACAGAAAGTAAATAAAGCAAACAAGACCAGACACTGATGCAGAACTTGGTAAGCCCTGTTCTTTGTACTGAGAGTTTGATTTCCTATGGAACAACAGACAGTCATCCTTATAGTGAAAGTGCAAAACATCACGCAGGCTAAGCATCACCCACCGGTAAATGGGGCGAACTAACTACTACACAAAGGTGCAGTAGAGGTAATTCTCAGCTAAGAGGATTAGACACAATGATGCAAGTTATTGTACTTTACATAGACGTGGATGGGTGGAAACAGTAGCTTGGGTAATTGTAATTGTAGGAAGAAAAACACATCAAGCATATTCCACTATGCTATATTAAACCACATTCTACTACAAATATCATATTCTACAAATCAGATTAGACTAGAATAAAAAGAACAACCTCTAATAATTTTACCCTGAAAATAAATAAATAAATACATTTGAATACTAAAAAATGGCACTGGAAATAAATTATTAACAAAATATTAAATAAATATAAAAGTGCTCTAGTAACTATATAGTATTGATGCTGGTATTCTTTTGCTGATGCTTCAATCGAATTATCAAAAAAAAAAAAAAATGTAGGGCAGAAAATCACTACATTTACATTTAGTCATTTTGCAGACGCTTTTATCCAAAGCGACTTACAATTGGGGAATACATAAAGCAATTCTTCTTAAAGAGGCAAACAGACACAGGAAGTGCTCGTAATACCAAGTTTTAGGCATTGTTCAAATAAGTACAAGCTAGAAAGGGAAGGAATAAATAAAGAGAAGCTGTTGCTTGAAAATTGTCTGGGATTCAGCATTCCGGATAGGGGAATAAATAACTAATAGTAGCAACTTGACTACATTTTTCAGTAGCACAATGTTGTATTGCACATAAAGGCTTCACAATTAAGTGAACTTATATAATTATCAAGCATGCTCTACTAGAATGTCCTTTCTGTCTCATATAAAGTAAACAGCCCTTAGTTGCCCATGTTGGTGCACTGGGGCCTGGTTGTACAGTATCTTGTCAGCTGGTACTCATTTCATAGTAAACATTACCATGGGATATCATGTGCAAGTTCACATGGCAGACTCAAGCTGTTCTGCTTTCCAGCCTTTCCTTCATCCTCGTCTTATTCCCTATTTCCTGAGCAAATGGTTGGAGCAGATTTATATAAGGCATAACTATAATGTAACCTATTCAAAATAAATAAATAAATACATAAAATAATAATGTTTTAGTAAAACATTAAATATTATACAATTATTATTAATAATAATTGTGTAAATTATACAAATATCACATTTTCCAATATGTATAATTATAATATTAATGTTATATAAATTAGGATAGTTTTTTTTTTTAAACTATGACACTTGTTGACATTGTTCATTCAAAAATCATTGTTTTTTTTTGTAGCAGAAAATACGGCTTTCATTAAATGACATTAAAGGGATAGTTCACCCAAAAATGAAATTTCTGTCATTAATTACTCACCCTCATGTCGTTTCAAACCTTTAAGACAACACGAATGTGTCATGGTATGAATGCGCATCGAAGACTGACACGGAAGAGAAGAAATTGTTGAATAAAGTTGTTATTTTTCTTTCTTTTTTGCACAGAAAGTATTCTCGTAGCTTCAAAACATTACGGTTGAACCACTGATGATTTTACCGATGTCCTTACTACCTTTCTGGGCCTTGAATGTGTCAGTTGCGTTGCTGTCTATGCAGGGTCAGAAAGCCCAGATTTAATCAAAAATATCTTAATTTCCAAAGATGAACAAAGGTCTTACAGGTTTGAAACGGCATGAAGGTGAGTAATTAATGACAGAATTTACATTTTTTGGGTGAACTATCCCTTTAAATTGTCAGCTTGTAGCTTGGCAAACTACACTTTCAAGAGTAGAATTCCCAATACCACCTACTGTATATCTACGGATAAACTCAAAATGTGAAAAGTTTTATAGCTGTGATGCTCAGAGCAGAAGAGACAAGCCTCCGTCAATGCTTTATCTCTCTCCAAGAGCAAAAGAGGCTCTCTAGAACTGGAGTATTGGATTATTTGAGAGTGATTCAAACACGCACACACACTACTCTCAGTGCTAAGGGTATAGGCACTTCCTGCCAAAATGAGCAAGCAACACTGATATGCAAGATTGCAATGTTAAACCGGCGCCGTATGATAATAACCCCTGATGTGAACATTATCATATGGCCTCTTAATCCCATCAAAACCTTCATGATAGCCACAAACAGGGGATTAGAGATGAGAAAAGAGTTGAAAGAGTGACCACGGAGGGATTACAGTCCATCCAATCTCATAGTTTTAGCGCCAAAGACACCAATACAAGACAAACCGCCATCAGAGATTTGCTGCTTCAGTGGAGGACAGCAACAATCCCACGGGTCCCAGCGGGAGGGAGACTGAATGAGCAATTACACATAATAAATAAATGCACAGTGGAGTACCCATGAAGCAATTCTGTGTAAATTGGCGCAGTTTCGTGGCGGATATCTGAGGGATGGAAGTACGTATTGGTACTAAGCTGAGTCTCTTGGGTCAGCAGCTCATGCTGTTGCTGACAGGGCGTTTGCCAAAAAAAACACGCACACACTAACAGCTGGAACGAATGCTACTCACCATTTTACCTCGTACACTGCTGATGTAGACATTCGTGCATCTACACACACCACCCTGGCACACTCAAACGCACACAAGCCAAGCAAATTCATCCTGCAACAAATAGGCTCTATCATGGGATAAACACTCTGCAGGTTGGCGCTTTCAAACTGGGACAAACACCCTCCAGGCACATTCAACTTGACATAAACAAACACCACCACTGTGGAAATTGAACCAAATGGCTACTAAGCACAGAATGAAAAAACGAGGGAGGAAGGAAGACGTTAAATTAGGATATACACTGTAGGCGAGCAGTACATCACAACAAATAGGCCACGGTTCGGGCATTTTCAAGCCTCCACAGAACAGTGTAGCCCGGGTCGTACAGTGCCGTGCTCTCAACGTTTCAATCATGTGTTGATAATATTATGAAAATGATTTGTTTATCCACCCGGGCTTTGTGCGAGTAATTGAGTGTACCATGTAAGTCTCCAAAGAAAACCATCCATATTCATCGCCCTCAATGTAGGTTTATTGATTTATTTCTGAGATACAATTGAGAATGATATTTCCCACATTTCCCGCATGATTCATTGGAATTTTCAATGTAGATGCCTGAGTCTGAGTTCCGTTCGAAAGAGCATACATATTCTTTTAATGCTTAACTGAAGTTCCTGCGACAAAAGACACATTTTGGTACTGGTCGGGAGGGTTTTTTCCCCTCAAGTCTCGGTGGAAACAACATGTATGAAAGGCCCTCAACAATGTGAGAACGCATCAATTATTCTCCACATAGGGTAGCGCAATAAATCGGGAGTTCCTTTGTGTGCCTGAAAGCTGTTTTACAGAGAAAATGTATCTGTGTTTCCTACAGCCTATTATTGTGGAATGACTCACCCGGTGGTGACTTCGCACAAGCTCACAGGAACAATCAGAAAATATTCAAGTACAGACTTCTACAGTCGAAGGCATCTCAAAATGTCCATAAAACTGGTTATTTGTAAAAAGCGAGGTCTTTGTGTACCAGTTTTGGGGTCGACGGTGAAGAAAGGCTGCCCTTGGAGAATGCTGTAGACAATCTTGGCACTGTTTCCGTAGGTGGGATCGTCGGCGTCTGTGGCAGTGATCTGGAACACCGACGTTCCTGCGTGGACATAAAAAATATGTCCAAGTTAAACTGCTAAAATGATTCATATGCTCAGATTTGCATTCATCCTCATTAATGCATGCCACGAGCATGCTCCGACAGAGGCAGTACTCATATGCCACTTGCTAATTCAAGTGATTCATCTCATGCTTCCTTGACCTGTACCAGGTTGAATTCACCTGTCATGAGCCTCTCTCCTCCAAGCCTTAAAGCATCTAATGCTATTACGAAATGTGTGGGGCTTGGATGGTGGCGATAACGCTGCTCTAACCTGAGACACATTCACAGTTTAAGAAAGAACACAAACACAATAGATTGAAGGCACCGGGCTCTATAATAGCCTCTCTTGAAAGGCCAGAGGCCCTCAACCAGCTTATAAGGCTCTATCTGTATTGCTAGTGATTAATTCATCACAGCTTGATAAAGTGGAGTCAGAGAGCTCGCCAGCTCACTGCTGGTGTTTGTTCTGTACCCGAAGCAGAATGTCTTACTCGGAAGGGCACAAATAATGACATGAGGATAACAAATTCCAACGAACAATAGGCCAAAAAAAAAGCTAATTTTTTAACATAAAACAAAGCAATATTTCTAATGAATATATCTAAAATTAAAATGCAATGGCATGCCTGTGAAGCGAACATAATTAAAGTGAGAAATGTATGATTGTAAATGTGCACAGTGCGGTTTGAAGCTTAATCATCTGCTTTTATGTATTATTTATTTGATATATTGAATACAATTTATATTCTAGATCATACATATTTTTTTATTTTTGAAAAATGTGTCACAGTCTCCACAAAATTATCCAGCAACACAACTGTTAAATATTAAGAATTTGAATAATTATTTGGAGCTTAATAAATTACTGGAATAATTGCTTTTGAAAATGTATCACAGGAATTTTATATATATATATACAGTGGGTACGGAAAGTATTCAGACCCCCTTCAATTTTTCACTCTTTGTTATATTGCAGCCATTTGCTAAAATCATTTAAGTTAATTTTTTTTCCTCATTAATGTACACACAGCACCCCATATTGACAGAAAAACACAGAATTGTTGACATTTTTGCAGATTTACACTGTATATATATATATATATATATATATATATTAGTGTAAGTGTAATAATATTTCAAGTTTACAGTTTAATAATAATGGTTAATAATAGTTAAAGTTTACAATATTACAGTTTTTTACTGTAGTTTTTGATCAAATAAATATAGCCATTAAAAACATAAAAAATACAATTTGATACTGACCAAAACATTTGAACAGAGTATATAAAAATAAATAATTAACATTATTAATATTGATTCTATTATAATACAGTAGTCAACATTTGAAGAGGATCAAAAAAGTTCATCAAAGTTGTCCTAAGACAAGAACGCATTTTGGTTTTAGGTTTTAGGACAACTTTGATTAAAGGTTTTGATCTACTTCAAATATTGACTAGTTTATAAATTAAACCACCCATATTTGCTATATATAAACTAACACATCCGAATACTGTACAGATCATTTTTTCAACAGGTACAGATACATATGCAGATAATTGTCTTCTGTTTGTGTTACATTTTTAAAGCCTAAACTAGTTTTAAAGACTCACTGAGAGCATGAGAGCAAATAAAAGCAGTGAAGGAGAGCGATTCATACACTGTAAAACTTTTCATTGTAAATTTACAGTAAAATACTGGCAGCTGGGTTGCCAGCCACATTCTGTATTTTTACAGGACTACTGCTGTAAACAACATTTGCAGTTCTGTACTGTAATTACCAAATACAGTATTATACTGTTATATAACTTATTTTTACAGTATTAGACTGTGTTATTTACAGGGAATACTGTAATTCCTGCTTTTCATTCCGTACTCTTAGATTTACAAAATTAAAAGTATTATACTTTTTCATAACAGTAGTCACAACAGAAAAAAGAAAACAACATTATCTGAGTTTTAAAACATTTATTTATTTTTGAAGAAAAGACCAGAAAATTGCCTTGTATGAACATATTGGCTGAAATGCCAGCTGTAGTTTTTTTTAAAATTTATTTTGTCTCTACTTACATCTGCTTGAAGGATAAGACCATCTAATTTCTGCAAGTGTGTGAGCAGCTGTAGGACCATGGAAGACATGGAAGCAATCAGGAATACTGCATTTGAAATAAGCATTAGGAACATGACTATGGATTTTCATGTGCTGGCAAAATTATAAGACATTAAAAAGCACGATCATAGAACTGACATTTTTAACATGGACTACAAATGTATATATAACTAAATACATATTTTACAGTTGACATTTCATTCATTCATCTATCCATTTTGAACAATGTTCAAATTGAACTTTGCTTCTAGTTAAAATTCACAGTTTTTCTTTTCATTTCAATTCATTGGAATTATACTTCCTTACATTCGGATTTGAACTGCAATGTTCTCTCTAAATAACTAAATTAAAATTCTATTCACATTCAGGAACTTAACTCAAATTTTAAAAGCATTCTCAATTAAATTCTGATAAACAAATAATCAATTTAAGGTTAAGGTATACTTTATTGTCCCTGGGGGAAATTTGTCTTGGGCTCAGAAATACAACCACCATATCACATAAAACATATAGTAGTAAGGACAAATAAGCCACAGTACACAGCACAGTAACACAGAGCATAAAAAAAGAGGAGAAAAAAATAATAATTTAGTGGTACTGAACATGTGACTTTGTACAAAAAGGCAGAAGTGCTTGCTTCCACTGAAGCACAAGTTGCTCTTTGAATTCTCAAATCATGCTGGGGATCATCAAGTTTGACAAACTTCGGTAGATTTTTTTCCACTTATACTTTTCATTATCATTATATTAAAATTTCCAATAAAAAATAATACAATTGCAAAATAGAAACATTTTCCCTAGTGCTCTCAGACTTTTGGTCCCTAATTATAAATACAGTAAATTCATAGCATAGTTTTAAATGTCAGGCTTTGCATTTGTAAATCATCTAACTATAAGAAAACAAGAAATTAAATGACATAGACCTAGATCTAGAAATAAATGATCAAAGTCAGAAGACAAAGACTTGAAAACACTCCTGTCATAACCTTTATGGGTGATAAATGACATTTCGTACAGTTCAAGCTTTAACATTTTTTTATGACAAATCTATCACGATAATGACTGTGGAATAGAGCTGCACGATTAATCGGTAAAAGATTGCGATCTCGATTCAGACAACCACATGATCTCATTTCTAAATGACAACGATTCTCCCGTGTCTATTAAATCTTTGTCTTACCGGATCATTCAAATCTGCGTTTGCACTGCCGCCGACACACAGAGAGCAGTTACCATGTTTGGTTAAGAAACAGCTTCACAAACAGTCTTTTCAACTACACAGTATTATTTCTGTCGTACAGTCATTCATATTATCACAGAAATACTGGGATGAAAGTTTATAATTCAGATATAAACACTGATGGCTATGGTAGCGCGACCAAAATAGAGCAAATCCGCGCTTGAAAGTAACTGCCACATAACGTTTGTGTCGATTGCAAGCGACTTAAAAATGTATAATTGAATGAATCATTTATTCAAGAGAATCGTTCAAAAATGCTGATTCAACCAGTAGGTTTATGAGTGAGTCGTTGAATCATTGATTCAAACAATTTTTTCATTATTTTAATATTAAATTGGTGTATTAAATATATTATATTTTAAATACATATTACACTACCAGTCTAAAGTTTTTGAACCGTAAGATTTTTATTGTTTTGAATATATTTTAAAATGTAATTTATTCCTGTGATTTCAAAGCAACATTTATCTGAAATAGAAATATTTTGTAACATTATAAATGTCTTTATCATCACTTCTGATAAATTTAAAGGATTCTTGCTAAATAAAAGTATTAATTTATATAATTCCCCCCCACCCAAAAAAAAAAAAAAAAATTGACAAGCTTTTGAATGGTACAGTGCATAATGTTACAAAAGCTTTTTATTTCAGATGAATGCTGATCATTCTATTCATCAAAGAATCCTGAAAAAATTTACTCAAGTGTTTTAAATATTGATAATAATAATAGTAATAATATTAAAATGTTTCTTGAACAGCAAGTCAGCATATTAGAATTATTTCTGAAGGATCATGTGACTCTGAAGACTCTAATGATGCTGAAAATTCAGCTTTTATCACAGGAATAAGTTACATTTTAAAATATATTCAAGTAGAAAGCAGTTATTTTAAATAGTAAAAATATTTCACAGTATTACTGCTTTTGCTGTATTTTGTATCAAATAAATGCAGGCTTGGTGAGCAGAAGATAATTCTTTAAAAAA